GAACACTTTCTTTCAGCGTCTAACATCAGAGTTATAACCTGAGTAGGGGCGTTACATCCTACTCTAATCTTCTTAGAACTGATTGGTTGTGATTACACTGCTAGATCAAGTCATGAGGGATCGTTGTTAGGTGCCATCAAGTTGGCTCACGGTGACCCTATGTACAAGAGAATGAAGCTCTGCCGGATCTTTGGGCCATTCTCACAACAGGTATATTTAAACCCATTGTGAAAACCAGTGTCAATTCATCTTCTTGGTCTTTCTCTAATTCTCAACCTTGTACTTTACCAAACACTATGTTCTTCTCCATGGGCTGGTTTCTCCTGATAACATATCCAAAATATGTGAGGTGAAGTCTTGCCATCCTTGCTTCTAAGGTCCATTCTGACTGTATTTCTTCCAAAACAGTTTTGTTTGTTTTTCTGCAAGTTCATGGTACTTTCAATATTTTTCACCAACATAATTCAAAGATACCAATTCTTTGGTTTTCATATTTATTGCCTAACTTTGACATGCATAAGGCAAGTGATAATATCTTGGCTTGGGTCAGGCGCACCTTAGTCTTCAAAGTGGCATCCTTGTACTTCAAAAAGCAGTCTTGTGCAGCAGCTTTGTCTAATGAAACACATTTAAGTTTCTTAACTGTTGTTTCTATGAGCATTGGCTGTGAACCCAAGCAAAATTAAATCCTTGACAACTTCAATCTTTTCTCTATTTATCATGATGCTGAGTGTTGATCCTGTTGGCAGGATGTGGGTTTTGTTCAGTGTTGTAACACATACTGAAACCTGCAGTCCTTGATCTCCATTAGCAAGTGCTTCAAGTCCTCTTACCTTTCAGCAAGCAAGGTTATCTCATCTGCTTATCACAGGTGTTAATAAACCTTCCTCTAACCCTGATGCTATGTTCTTTTCATATAGTCCAGCTTCCTGAGTAATTTGCTCAGCATACGGCTGAATAAGTATGGTGACAGGATACAACCCTGATGCACACTTTTTCTGACTGAAACCATGCAGTATTCCCTGGTTCCGTTCAAACAACTGCCTCTTGGTTCCAGGGACAAGTTCCACATGAGTACAACGAAGTGTTCTGGAATTCCCATTCTTCTCAGTTTTCTATCCACACAGTTGAATGGCTTAGTCAACGAAACACAAATATTTTTCTGGAATGCTCTGCTTGCAGCCAAGATCCACCTGACATCAACAATGATACACCCCTTGTTCCATGTCCTGGTCTGAATCTGGCTTGAATTTCTGGGAGATCTGTCAATGTACTGCTGCAACCACTGTTGAAAGATCTGAAAAATTCTGTTTAAATGTTCTGGTAATGATGTTGTTTGATAATTTCCTAATGATGCCCTTTTCCTGGGGCTGTTCTCTCCTGATAGCAGTCTTGCCAGCCTTAATTCTAAAGAATATTCTGGCGGTACCTCTTCCAACACAGATTTGCTCAATGTTCAAGCGTCCATAGTGTTCTTCTCCAACACCATAATTCTTCTTCGGTCATCTTTATTCATTGTCCAGCTTTTACTCGGCCAAGCCTCAAAACAGTAAAGATGTCAATTCTATCAAACTTCATAAATTCAATGTAATTTCTATGAAAATCTTAGCAAGGTTTTTTTACAGGTATAAGCAAGACTGTTCTAAAATTGGTAAGGCAAAGAAACTGAACCACTTTTTTTTTCTTTATTGCCCTCATCATTCTGAAAACATTTGCTCTCTACCTAAGCCCCTCGCATCAGCTCATTTTTACCCCTCCCTCCCCGCTCCCCTCTCCCTCATGAACCCTTGATAATTTATAAATTATTAGTCATATCTTTCCCTGTCCGACGTCTCCCTTCACCCACTGTTCTGTTGTCCATGCCCCTTTTGAAAATAAGTAGACCACTTTTGAAAAAGAAGAGGCTCTGACAGGTGCAAATCCGTAAGCATTCAAGTGCTACCTAAAAGGTTGGCAGTGCAAAGCCACTCAAGGGTTGCCTGGGAAGTTTGGAAGAAAGGCCTGAAAATCAGAGTCCACGAGGTCACAGCCATGAGAACTGTAAGGAGCAGTTCTGCTCTGAAATACAGGGAGTCACCAGAGGTCGGAAATGACTGGTGCCAGCTGGTTTTTGTTTTTCTATGTCAAGGTTTATTATTTTGTTAGATATCAAGATAGTGTGGTGGTGGAGGAATAACAAGACAAGTTGTTGCTGTTGCTGTTAGGTGCCATCAAGTCAGTTCTGACTCAGCAACCCTATAAACAACAGAACAAAGCAATAACATAATAAATGGAATAAAAAATAAAAAGACCCCACATCAATAGGCTCAATGGAAAAAAGGGTAGAAGCAAATAAACTGAAAAAAGTATAGAAGCAAATAAACTGATAACCTTTTTTTAAAATGGCATTTAAGGAATTTGACATCCAAAGGCCAAAAACAAATAGGTAAAATCCAATTCTGGAGGAGGAAACAGTATCAGAGCTTAAATTCGGAACACCCAGTTTGCAGAAGGCTACAGGTAATAGTGAGAGCCCAGAATCTCTTCGCAGACTCCTCCCTGGTGGCGTAGTGGTTACGCATTGGACTACGATCCACAAGGTCAGCACTTCGAAACCACCGGCAGCTCCACATGAGAAAGGGCTTTCTACTCCCGTAAAGAGTTACTGTCTCAGAAACCCACAGGGGCAGTTCTACTGAGTTGACATCAACTCCATGGCAGTGAGTTCATACAGATTAGGCCTCCAGTGAATCCCTTCGGTCCATACATAGTTCATGGATGTGACTGTGAATAATCAGATAGAGAGAACGGTGTTCTTTATCATTTGAGATCCCTTTTGAACCATTTTATCAGTCTTTAATACTTTCTGCTTTTTTTTCTATGGAGGTTTTTCCTCTGTTTTGTCATTGTTGTTTGGGGTTTTTTTTGTTTGTTTGTTTGCTTCCTGTTTTTGTTTTTTATGATTTCCTATATACAAAATCCAAGACAGTTAAATCTATAGAGAAAGTAACTGAATTAATAATTACCTGGGAAAGAAAGAAAATGTTCTGAAATTGATTGTGGTAATGATTGTACAATTCTTCTTGATATGATTGAACAACTGAATTATATGATATGTGGACTATGTGCCAATAAAACTGAAGAAAAACACCCTGGGGGCATGACAGGGGAGGTTAGGTAGAAACGGGCAGCTAACAAAGAGTGTGAGGAAGAAGGGGAAATGAACCAGTGCCTCACATCTGATTCAGTAAAATGAGTCAGGTTTAAATACAAAATGCAAAACTACCACTTTTAAAGGGAAAAAATTCTTTGGATTCTAGAGTGAGGCAGAGTTCTTTGTATGGCACCAAAAGCATGAACCATAAAAGGAAAAACTAATAAAATACTTCATCAAAATTAAGAGGCTTGCTCTGCAAAAGACCTTGTGATGACGCATATCTTAAACTTTAAACTCAGCAGTTAAAAGAAAGAAAACCCAGTGTTCCATAGAGTTGGCACGGTGGCAGCAGAATAGCCAATGAGTTTTTACTGAGCGTGATTATTGCTCATTGAAAAACAACGAAAGCCTTTAGAAACCAGGCAAAAGGCATGAGGTGCTACTTGACTAAAAGTGACAGATGTCAAGCACATAAAAAGATATTCAACATCAGTAGTCATTCCCAAATCCACTGGCATCGAGTCAATGCCCTCTTAGAGACCCTACAGGACAGAGTGGAATTGTCCCTATGGAGTTCAGAGATTGTAACTCTTGATGGGAGTAGAAAGCTGCCTCGTTCTCCTATACTCAGTAGTCACTAAAACCATACATTAGAACACATGGTACTGATGTGTTTTACAACTTTCAAATTCCTTTCATATATCATATATTCATATGCATCTAAATAGGTGTTCAATTGTGAGCCAGTGGTTACAACTTTCAAATTCCTTTCATATATCATATATTCATATGCATCTAAATAGGTGTTCGATTGTGAGCCAGTGGTTTTCAAGGGGTGATCACAACTTTACATAATAACAGAATCAAGTTACTCATGGTGGCACCAAGTGCTGGAGTAGGCTTGTGTGTCCCACCCCACCACCACCACCCCCACCCCCGCAGGGTTTTCTGTAGCCAGGTAAGCTTTCTGGAAGTCACGGCCACAGAAAACCCTGCAGGACACAAGGATGCCAAGATGGGGGAAAAAGGCGTTTGGAGGACAACTTGGACAGCCACCAACACAGCTGGCTGGAAAGGGCAGAGCTTCTGAAAGAAAGGTCCAGGAAGCTGGGCTTGTTCCTGGGAGTACAGGGTCACCAAATATAAAAGTTTCTGACATTTACAAATGTACTACTAACATACTAACCAATCGATGGCAGCGAGTTTGGGTTTAAGTGTTCAAAACCGTTATAAAATCAATGCACGTACGTTCCTTTTAACTTTAACTTTTGGCAAAGACCAGAAAATCATGCGAAAGAAAACTTCCTCAAAGTCCCGCCTTCCTCAAAGGCGGGAGCCGGGCTGCTCCTCCCGGCTCCCGCCGCAGACGCGCGGGGTCCGCCCGGCACTCCCGGGCGGTGAGGGGCGGAGGAGGAGGAGAACCGAGTCGCGAGGACCGCGCGGTCTTTGCGCGCGGGAGCAGGGCGGCCACCAGCCTCCCTTCCAACTGCAGCCAGGGAAAACGGGCTTCTCTCCCGGGCCCGGAACGCGACTCCATCCGGCTCCGGGACGGGCTGCCGGCGGGGGAGGGGCCCGGCGGGGGAGGGGGCGCAGCTCACAATCGGAGGCTTATGGACAAACCAGGGCCGGGGAGGAAGGGAAGGGTCGAGGGAATCCAGAAGCGGGAGTGGGCAACGGATTCCCGAGTTTAGGAAGTTACGTTCAGAAGCCCGGGAAGCTCAGACCGGGGAGGGGGGTGGTCCACAGATTTGGGGCCCTGAGGGGGAGGGAACAGTGCTGGGCAACGGCATTCCAGGGCCCCTGGGGCGGACACAAGGGCGGTTTGGGAGAGGGAACGGGGTACGAGAGGGAGCCCTCGACTCACCAGGTGCCGCGACACTTCGGAGGAGGCCATGGTGCCCGGTGGGAACGGAGCGAAGGGCGGGACGGGGGCCAGCCGTAAGCGCGGTCTCAGTCCCGGCGTACCCCGAGAGCTGCGGTCCGGGCGGGAGAGGAGAAGCCGCGGGAAGGGGAAAGGGCGGGGCCGGAGGAGGGAGGGGCGGTAATCCCGGAGGGCGGACGTCGGGTGGCGGCGGGGGCAGGCCGGGAGGGGCGGGGAGGCGGCCAGCCGAGCTGTGCGCGCACGCCCAGGAGGGGGCGCCCGAGGAGCCTGAAAGACCGGGATTCGAAACCTCCGCCTTGGCATTGGAGCGAGGGGCGGGAGGGGGAGGGAGATACGGAACACGGGAGGGGTCAAACCCAGCCACCACCGTAACAATGCGGCTCGGAACCAGGTGCAGGTCCCGCACCCTTAACCCCGCTGAGGAATTGAGCGAACACATGGAACTAGCCCCCAAGGAACTGACACGGACTCTCTCTGTTTTCCAGAGTGAAAAGCAAGTTCAAGGGCTGAGGGAGTGGAGGAAACTCGGAATGTGAGGGAGAAGACGTACGACGGGAAAAAGCCGCGTCCTCAGGCGCCCGCCTAAACCAGGAGGGAGCAGTGATTGCGGAGCGGCCGCGGAGACCGGAAGTGGGGCGGGGCCGGGGCGGGGCCTGCGCGACGCGGGCTTTGGGGCGGGGGGCGTGTCTGCGGCGGCTGCCCTGGTGAGCGGGTGGCGGCCACCTCCCGCCGCAGACGCCGCGGCGAGCGAGGCTGGCGGAGGGCGTTCCCGAGGAGCGTTGCCGCGCTCGAGCCGAGCCGAGCCGCAGCCCCTCTGCCCGAGCCCCCCGCCGGCCGGAGACACCGAAGCGGAGATGGAGGGGATGGCGGGGCTCAGCCAGGAGGCGGTGCTGCGCTTCCTCGCCCAGCACGAGGGCCGAGTCCGCAACACGGAGCTGGTGGAGCACTTCAAGGGCGCCCTGGGCGGCGAGCCCGAGCAACGGGCCCGCGCCCGCGAGCGCTTCAAGCAGCTGGTCAACGCCGTGGCCACTGTCCGCACCGATCCCGCCGACGGCGCCAAGTACGTGCACCTCAAGAAGAAGTTCAGCGCCGGACGCCCGCCGGCTCCCGCCCCGGAGGAGACCGGGGAGCCCCCGCCGCCCCCCGACGGCGACGCCGCCCCTCCCGCGGCCCTGCGGGGTCTGCCGCGGATCTCGGTGACCGCGGAGCCAGGCCAGGACGAGCCGGGGGTCTCCGAGGAGGAGAGCGACCCGCCGCCCGTGACGACCACTGAGCCCCCAGAGCCGCCCTCGGACGAGGGCGGGGAGCGGCCGGTCGCCTCGCACGCGCCCGGGAACCAGGCGGGGGAGCCGCCCAGGCCCGGGCAGGTGCCACCCCAGAGCACCGAGGTCCGTCGGAGAAACTCGCGGCGCGGTGTGCAGCCCCTACCCCGGGTGCAGCCCCCCGGGCTCAGCGAGGAGCTGGAGCCGCCGGCCCCCGCCTGGGAGGAGGCGGAGGGGGGCAGCTCCCCCGGAGGGGCCACCACCCCGAGGTCCGCCCGCAAGAACTTCCGAGACATGGTGATGGGCAGCTCCCCGCAGATGAAGAGGAGCTTCTTTCCCGGGGGCGGCAGCCAAGCGAGCTCCTCCGGGGGAGGGCGCGGCAGAGGTGGCGGGGACTCGGACAGCGCCTCCCTGGCGTCGTCGGCGGAGGAGGAGAGCGGCGGCGGGGGCTCGGTGACGCTGGACCCCCTGGAGCACGCCTGGATGCTCTCGGCCTCAGACGGCAAGTGGGAGAGCCTGGAAGGGTTGCTGACCTGCGACCCCAGCCTCCTGGCCAAACGGGACTTCATCACCGGCTTCACCTGCGTGCACTGGGCCGCCAAGCACGGCCGGCCGGAGCTCCTGGCCATGTTGGTCAACTTCGCCAACAAGCACCAGCTCCCGGTGAACATCAACGCCAGGACGACCGCTGGTTACACCGCCTTGCACCTGGCCGCCATGCACGGGCACGTGGAGGTGGTGAAGCTGCTGGTGGGGGCCTACGACGCGGACGTGGACATCAGGGACTACAGCGGGAAAAAGGCCTCGCAGTACCTGAATCAGAGCGTCGCTGAGGAGATCAAGAGCCTGGTGGGAGCCCTGGACGAGGTCGACGCGGAGAGTGCTGGGGGCAGTGGAGGTGGGCGCTGGAGGCTCTCCAAGGTGCTCCCCTCTCACCTCATCACCTACAAACTCTCGCACGCCCTAGAGGATGGAGGGGAGCACCATCACCATCATCACCACCACCACCACCACCACCAGGCCGAGGCATGGGCTGGAGGCAGAGCAAAAGATTCCGGTCGCAAAGCCTCGGGCAGCTCTAGTGGGCGATTGAAACCCAGACTCAACAAAATCCGTTTCCGAACCCAGATCATCCACACCACGCCCTCCTTCAGAGACCTGGAGCAACCGCTAGAGGAGGAGGAGGAAGAGGAGAGGTCTCTGAAAAGCCACTCCTCGTCCTCGTTCAAACTGAGACCGAAGTCCAACGTGTTTGGGTAAAAATAACTTCCCTTTAGGAAAACATAGGCATAGTCTTAGGGAATAGACTACGGGGCATGGGCAAGGACGGGAGGCCAGGAAAGACTAAGCCTGAATTCCGGCTAGAAGGGTTGAGCCGGTGAAGGAAGTAGTGGCAAGGTAGTCGGGCTTTCTGCCTGTGTGCAGATTTTCCATCTAGCATCCCTGGCAAAGTGGACTTTGCCTTGACCTGTGCCTTTCCTGCGCACTTCCCTTCTGGCCCTGGAGCCCATTATTCTAAGGACCAGAAATATGTCTAAAGTAGGGGGGAGGAGGGCAGGCTTTCCTTTGACCCTTGCCTACAAGACCCCTGGTTGGGTACTGGTTATACATTGGGCTGCTTAACTGCAAGGTCAGCAGTTTGAAACCACCAGCGGCTGCGAGGGGGAAATTCCAGGCTTTCTACTCCAGTAAAGAGTTAGTCTCGAAAACCCACTTGGGCATTTCTAAACCCTGCCCTACCGGTCGCTGTGAGTCAGCTTGGACTCTGTGATAGTGAGTTTTGAGTTTTTAAAAGTTGGTTACACTTCCAAATGCAACAGGAACTGCGCATTGTAATGAAATTGATAGTGTTACAGAGGTGAGCCAAACTACCTGCTGCCCTTATTTATTTACTAATGGCATTCCATTGTTAAGGTACTACTGAAGGCCAGAGTTGAGATGCAAAAGTACTAATTAGAATAATGTGAATAAAAGTGGAAATCTCGTTTGTACCGGATTTGTGTTGTAAGTAGCAGTACATTTTTTTTGAAGCAGTTTCAGTTTTTAAGACTGATGAAAAAGGCAACTTTCACTTTAACTTAATCTGTAACCCAGTTTCTGTGTAACTCTCACACCACTACACTTGATATTAAGTTACTTTAATAGTAATACAGTTTTGTCATTAAAAGAACACTCAGATCCCACAGTATATTTCAACAAAATAGTGCCTATTGTTCTGAATTGCATTGGTTATTTTGCTGCTCTAAAAGTGTAACTTGGCCAGGGTTCTGTTCTGGGGACCCTAGAAGCCTCGGTCCTTTTTGGCATGACCCGCCCTACTTGATGGTGCTTAGAGTTGCATTGCCTATAGAAACCGATTCTGGTTTAGATGGTTAGCGAATTGGCATAAATGTTAGTCCTATGCTTCTGTGAAGTAATTTTTAAATCAATGATTTTCACTTTAAGGTACACTTTTTATTTTTACTACACTAAGAAATAAGATACATTCACAGTTTCTATGCTTTACAGCAGTTCTTACCAATGTTTAGGTTTTATGACAATTCCTTGAATCGATTAGAAATCTATGGTAACGTTACTGAAAAGCTGGGTAGTAAATTCGCCCTGTTAAAGATAGCACTTTATCAACAGAAAAGAGAAAGAGATGAGGCTATCTCCGGACTACTTACCTGCTGCTGACTATTGAATCCCTTGTGTATCGAGGGAAAGCACCGCCCTTTAGTAATGAAAGACATAGTCTAAGTGTGCCTCTTAATTATATTTCATTCACATTTGTTGGAGTAAATGGCCTTATAATTACTTTAATATTTAACTCACAAACATGTCTGTAATGAGGTTATAAACAACTTTCGTGGGGGACTAATTTGAACAAGTCCTTATCCCTGGGCCTTTTTGGTCTCATAATCGCTGAGATATAATTACCTGCAGCCTATAGAGAGAAAGCAGATAAGGTAACAGCTCACAAAGTGAATGAACCGGGTTGGCACTTCAGGGCTGCAGCATTTAGAGTTCTTGGGTGTATTTCCCATGCCCCCAGTCAGAAATTTGTATCAGATGTGCCATTGCCTTTCTCTCGCTGGCAATGATAAATGGAAAATAAATCACATAAAACTAGTGCACATATACGTGCCTTTATCCCTATTTCAGGGTTATGGAGATGGTTATGGACATTTGAGAAGCACTTTTATCTGCATATGTGGGTGAAAAAAAAGCCTACTTTTATATTTTAAAAATCGGTGAAAAGGTGACAAAGTTCTGTGGTGAAAAGTAGTGATTTGTTCTGAAATAAATAAATATACACACACACACACATCAAACATGTATCTAGTCCAGAATACAATTTTCCGGTGAGGAATCTGAACTTGCATTGACGTGTAAGCTAAGGTGAACTATAAAGAGTAGAAGCGTCAGAACCATCTAATTGTCCTATTGGGCGTTCACTATTCATCTTCTGTGTGTGTGTTAGTAACTAATTGCACAAAAGCTATTCCTTCCCAAATCTTTGCCAGTTGAGTCAAAATTTCATTTGCTTGCTTTTCCCATGAAAGGCTTTTATCTTTCCGTTGAATATTTTAAATGATAAAATTATCATTCCTGAGGGAAACTGCTTCCAACCTTCATTCTTACTTTGTGGTTGCGTGCAGTAGAGTGTAGCATTTTCAGCCACATAAGTTTACATTCCTATTGTCCAATTTCACATTCAAGAAACTATAAAAAGCAAACGATTGGTGTAACTTGTATTTGCAGGGTTGTGTCTACCATTAATGGAAATGTATGCATCAGATACTTAGATGTGTATTGATATAAAAAAGTGTGTGTGGTTTTAAAAAGTACATATGCCCATATGTTTCTTACAGGTGCACTTGAACCTCGTGAATGTTTGTCACAGTTTGGTTCAATTTTATGGTATAAAATGCAACAAGCTTATTTAACTTGAAAATTTGGTACAATTGTTCTTGCCTGTGCCTGTGAAAATGTAAGAGTCCAGAATGTCTTGTCATATATTTTTTTTTAAAGGTGAACCTTGGAGAGTTTGAGAATGTAAAATTTGTCTACAAAGTTAATTTTGTTGAAATAAAAGCCCACTAGAATTTTCCCGTCATCCTTTCTACTTTTTCCTTGGTGATTCTTTAGGCTTTTCGCTTTTTCACCTGGTGTTTTACATTTGGCAAATGGTTCTTGAAGTTTTGACTTAAATTGATCTTCCCCCTCTACTTCAGGTGACTGCCCAGATAGATCCCTAATTGATAGATGAGGACACGAGGCAGACGGTCGATGCTGGTTCACGGTCCAATGTAAGAAGGGTTGTTACTGAGGCCTTAATGACCGATGTCCATACTCTTCCATATCTTGTACATAATAAATTGCCACGTTTGGGGGAATTGTTATGGTTTGGCTTTAGTGGTGGAGAAATGAGCTCGAGGAGAAGGTGATACTGCCACCAAAAATAAAAAGCCCTACAGCTTATGCACATACCATCTACTGTCAACCCTCCCTCCCCAGACTGGATCGGAAACAGCATGGAATGCCTTTCTGTTTCCTTCAGCATCCACCAAGGGTTAGATAGATAGCGATGAACTCATTTCTTCATCCAGACCACCTTTGCGTCCTCTATTTTAGCAATTCACCTCGACAAGAGGGCACACAGCTGTGGTAATCTGGTGCCATGCCCCATCTACCATTGCACTTTCCTGAACTTCAGCATTACGATGGTGCTGAGTTGCACTTGTTTTCTACAAAGCCATACAACAGTTTGTAGTATAATGTAACTGGAAGCCTGGGTAAGTCTCGTTGTTTGTGGGTTTTTTTCAAAACGACTTTTTGCCCCACAAGTATGTATCATGGAAAAAGGTTCATAGCAGTGCACTTGCAGATAGCTTTGGAAATTTTCCTAGTGAAAGATTTATTTTGCTAAATAAATGACATTGTGATTCCTGGTAAGGTTCGTTCTAAAAGTAAATACTCTGGGGATTTGCTGAAACTCAGTGTTCCTTGAGTCGTGAGTCATAAATTTTCAGAAAATGATGCATTTTGTGAATGTGTTTTGGAGTCTAGACAGAGCAGTCTATCTTTTACATACCCAGTGCTCCCAAAGAACGTAACTTTTCATATTGCCACAGTCTTCCTCTTAAGCCTTTCCCTAAATGCCGGTTTCCACTAGGAATTTGTTTCACCCTTCTGTTAATAATTGCCTGTTTGATCCATGGATGAGGAATGTGTGGGCAATGTCCCATGAAGGTCTTCGATAGTGGTTTTTAAAAATGGACAATATATTGAAGAAATACCGAATAGCATTTCATCATAAATTCAGCAACTTACATTCATGCCAACTGAGTAAAGGTATTTTTGCATACCTGAATGTCAGGTAGCTGCTTCATCTGCAGCTCAAATAAAAGCAGCCATCTATTCCAACCCTGCAAGTAAAATTGCATTGATTAAGATTTTAGATTGCCAATCATTTGAAGAGATTTTCAAGAGTAAAATTGATTGTTAAGTTTTACCTTAAAAGCTGGCTCAAGGATGTAACCCCTAGGAGACTCTAACTGGCTTTAAATATGCTAAGTACTGTCGTGTATACAAATGTATATTCTGTGGAACCCTGAAGAACATATGAATAGGGAGATGAATTGTAGCTTAGCACATTGAACTCTGCAATAATGATCTTAACTTGGGATAGCGTGCACTTAAGATGGCACAGGGACAGAACATTTGACCTTGGATGGGAAAGACTGCCAGAGGTTGCATGAGCACCTGAAATATTAAAAATACTCTTAGGTCATTTTTAAAGCATCCTTGTGACCCATTCTGTCTTAGAAACCACTGCTCTAGGCCGTATCCATTCTGACTAAACATTTAGCCAAAACTGGCACTAACAACAGAATGCAGTGATTTAAACCGCCCTTCCTCGTTGGAGTGAAGGGGTTAGAGGCCATCAACTTGGTCGTAATGACCTGGTGTGCAACAGAGCAAAATTGCCCAGCCCTGTGTCATCCTCAAATTGTTGCAGCCACTGTGTCAATCCTTCTACTTTGCTAACCATACTTAGTAAATGTTCCAATGTCCTGGTCAAAGAACTCAAAAGCCCCTAGTAGAATACTTCTCTTGGTCTTTTAAGAAGCTTTGAATTGAATGGACATGTAATTGAGTATCCTTGAGATTTGTCCAGAAGATTCTGATAGTAATTAATGCAATCCTCAACCTGGTAACATTTCAGACAAAGACCAGTTTGGTTCGAATCAGCAGTTCAATGTTATCATTGTGTACCGAGAGGATTTCAAACCTGCTGAAAGAAAACAAACTTTAGAAAAAGTAAGCCTTTTAATACATTCTCATCTGCCTATGCAATTCTAGTATCTGCATTTTATTAGTAGGAAAACACGTCCAGTAGCTCAGCTACTTGCTGAGTTCACTGTACTCCTACAAGTTCCCATGACTGGTATTAACAGATCCAGCCTCCAGAGGTGGTATGTGCTTGGTCATCACACTACGCCACTTTTCCGGGAATGTCTCAAAACAATCAACTGACCTTAAGCTTACGGAGTCACCACCTAAAGGGGTAGAAAACTATTGACCATCTCCACTACCACCAAGTCAATTCTTACAACAGCTCAGTGAGGTGGAGTAGAACCCCTCCCTAGGGTTTCCCAGACTAAATATGGGAGCAGAAAACCTCAGCTTTCTCCCAAAGAGCACCTAGTGGCCTTGAACTGCTGACCTTGCAGTTAGCAGCCCAATTCATAAACCACTACATGTTGCCCATAGTACCGATAAAAGACATCAAACTAAAACCTAATGACAAAAGGGGGAAAAAGAGCTAAAATGATCTGTTGCTGCTGCTGCTCGGTGCTGTTGAGCTGGCTCTGGCTCAGTGACCCTGTGTCCGACACAGCTAAACACTGCCCCCGTGTCCCAAGCTCACACTCGTGCGTAGGCCTGAGCTCCTTGAGGTAGCCGCTGTGACATGCCATATGATTGCTCAATATGGATATGATTTGAGCTGGATTTTGAGGCAATATTGATTCCAGACTCCTAGAAACCTCTGTACGAGTAAACAAGACACTACCCAGGGCTGTGCCCATCGTTGCTCTGTCTGAGCCTTTGCCAGCTCACCTCACTGAGGGGCTTTCTCTTTTTCCCCCACCCCTGACGGTCCCATCATGACGTCCTCCTCCCATGCCGGAGCCTTCCTGATACTATGTTCAAAGATAACAACAAAGGCTCACCATCCTTGCTTCTCAGGAGCATGCTGGCTAGAGTTCTTCCAAGATAAGTTGGCTCTTTTGGCAGTCCACGGTACCTTCAATATTCTTTACCACCATAAATTCAAATGCAATCCTTCTGGTAGTCCTGGGTATCGTCAATATGCTTCACCAGTACCATAATGCAAGCGCATTAATTCTTCAGGGCTCCTTAATCATTGTCTAGCATTCACATGAGATATGTAATTTAAAATATCATGGCTTGGGTCAGGTACCCCTTAATCCTCCAGGTAATATCTTTGATATTTAACATTTTGAATAGTCCTTCGGCCCAATGCAATACACCCATTCATTTTTTTTCTATTCTTTTTAGTGGCATTTATTTACTTAAGCT